CTATAGGATTTGTGTGTATTGTCTTCTTGCATGTGCTTAAGGTTATCTTGATGTTGATTAAGTTAAATGGATGGAGTAGACATACAACTAGTGAATAAAGCTACTAATTGAAGATAGTTGGAGTTGAGGATTGTTTCCTTTGTTATAAATATATGGTATAAGGGGAATCATTGATGAATGACTTCATTATCATGTTAATGATACTATTAAATCAATGTAAGAAGTCTATAAGGGGTGATATGGGTTATACGGATTCCAATCGGAGCTTGCCGCTCGTCGTGAAGTAGTTGTGACTTGCTGTTGTTATATGGTGTCTTGTTATTGATATTTATAGGTTGCTGGACTTCCCTGGCTGTTGTTGTTGGTATATGGTATTGGAGGAGGCCCTTGTTACAAGGGAGATGCTGCCCGAATTTACGTAGACGAGCTACTAGCTTAAGTTACAGACTTAGCCTTTGCTCAACACTGATTTTGAATCTCCTTATGCTATGATAGATCGAGTTGACTTGTTTGAAGAGTTGCTTAGAAGGTATTAGGGACTCAACATGATTAAGGTATGTTAAGGCTCTTCCTTCATTCTTTTGGCATGATCTATAGTGAAACGAACGTAAACGATACGCTATTTCATAATGAATCTACTCCTAGCAACTAAGGTTGTCCATGTTGTTCTTTCCTTACAAAGTTATTCCAAGAAAGCATATATGATCCTTGAGTCCTAGTGAAGTTCATATTGATGGCATGATGTCCATAATGTTAATCGATGGTGCAATGACTTTATGTCACTCCAAAAGGTTTAGAACGTGACTCCATGAGTCCAGCATGCATTATATACGTATCTACTTTACTCTACCGAGCCGCGCTATAGTCGGCCGGGTATGGCACCTATTGTGCAACCACTGATCAGTTGGGTTTACCGAGCTCCACGTGGCCGGGTATGTTTTTACCGAGTCCTCTTTGAGGCCGGGTATGATATGATGATGATGATGCCCACAGAGGCGTATGTTTTTAAAAGTTTATGTATATATATGTATTATGCATTTCATGTCAGTAGCCCCCAGAGGCACTCAGATGTTACAGGTTGTATCTCCTCTATCTCTCTTTACATTACTGTTCTTATTTATGCTTTCCTGCCTTACATACTCGGTACTTTATTCGTACTGACGTCCCTTTTGCCTGGGGACGCTGCGTTTCATGCCCGCAGGTCCCGATAGACAGGTTGACATTCCTCCTAGTAGGCTATCAGCTCAGCGAAGGTGTTGGTGTACTCCACTTGCTCCGGAGTTGCGTATTTGGTCAGTATGCTTTGGATATGTATTGATTGGTATGGTGGGGCCCTGTCCCGACCTTTCTAATTTTATGTACTCTTAGAGGCTTGTAGACAGATGTCAGGTGTATGGATACTTGTATGGCCTTTTCGGCTTATGTTCTGAGTTTACAAATGACCATGTCGGCCTTATAGGCCCGTATGTCACATGTATAAGTTTGCATATCATGGTGGGTCGTCAGA